GCGTATATTTACAGTGGGGGTATGCTATAACGAACAGATCCTACTACGAATATTCCTATAACGAACGGTTTTACCTATAAAATTGAGAATGCTATAACGAACGCAACTCCTACAACGAACGCGGATGAATACGGGACTATTTCGCCTGGCGCATGAACATTGTTGTACCGCGACCCACAACAAGAGCATAAGGCGCCATCTTTGTCTCATTGTGTAGCCAGTGCACCACTGTTATTGTTGAAATTTCGTCTTTTGATGTGGAAATAAAGTTATTTGCATAAATATTTTGTTATACAAGTGTACAATTGTAACAATGAATCGTCCAAAGCGAGTGAGAAAGCTCATAACTCTTGAAACTAAGAAAGAAATCATAAAGAAACGTGAGGATGGAACAAGCATTGCGAAACTCAGTGATGAGTATGGGATGGCTAAATCGACTATATGTACGATTTTAAAGAATAAAGAGGAGTTGTGTCATGGGTTGCGTTAGGCTTACCCACGCAACCAACTCCAAAGTTGGTTTACCAGAGTACCTCCACACCTTTGGGGGTCCTCATCAACGGAGGGACCCAGTTCCACCTCAGCCTCCCGATTCACTACGAGGCGGTGGACAGTAAACCCAAGGGCGAGTGACGGACAGATTTACATCTTCATTTTGGTGGACTTCAGTTTGAGGCGGTGGACAGTAGACCCAATGGTGAGTGATGGGCAGAGTACACCCTCACCTTGGGGGCCCTCAGCGAAAGAGGGACCCAGTTCCACATCAGCCGGCTGGAGGAGTCCTTCTCTTCACCACCGGGGAAGTTCATTCGACATTGCAGAACGTGTCTAGGACCAGACCTATGTGTGGGAGTGTCCATATGTTCCGGTCAACTCGAACCTCCACGCATCTGACGACTCTTCAAATGTTATGTAAACCTTTTCACACCTCTCTACATTTAAGAACATAACACGACACCTGTACCACCTAAACAATGTCTACATACCCTACACTACACAACACGTTGCTGTAACATAAATACAGCGTGTTTACGCTTAGCATGAACTATTGCTCGGGAATTGTCACCCTCGCCTCGGAGTTTTCCTCCAGCCTGAAAATCTAAAGTAAATGTTGAGGTTTTCCCTCAGTGGCGATTGGCGACTACATCCCGTTGCAGTGTTAGTGTCACACACACCACAGTGTGAATGTGGAATTGTGTGTCTGGGCTAGGCATTCTCTTGATTGTATACAGGTGCTGAAATTTTTATTCTCCGAAGAAAAATTTTTCTTAGTAGGGGCGATTGTCATGGGTTGCGTTAGGCTTACCCACGCAACCAACTCCAAAGTTTGTTTTACCAGAGATAAGACGCCCGGCGAGGCATAACTGGGACATGTATTTTTCAATTAGTGTATGTCAGCCAGCCTTTAGGGGGGTGGGCAGTGAAACAGTGTTGTACTGTTCATCGCTTCACACCCAAAAACCTCATTTTTAAGTAGTATCCCCTGAGCCATGGGTTAGTGAAGAAGTCGTCTTGACTCTCTCCCTCCTGAAAGGGAGCGGGGCACCACACCACACAGAGTCCTCCACCGCACTCCGTCCTGTGAACCGTCGTCGACACGAGACTAAGCGTGTTAACCTAGGTTGTTATCCCCGTGGAAATATCACGTGTGGATGCCTGGTTGCGACAAGAGCAATCCAGGCTGGCCTATCAAACCTACATTAAATGGTTAATTAATTCACGCTTACCGAGTTCTCCTGCACGACACCCGTCTACCGTGACCGTGATCGACACGAGACTAAGTGTGTTAACCTAGGTTTGTTATCCCCGTGGAAATATCACGTGTGGAAGCCTGGTTGCGACAAAAGCAATCCAGGCTGGTCTACTGCACCTAATGGTTAATTCAAGTCACACTTACCAGTTCTCCTTGCCGCGACAACCGTCTACAGTGACTGTCAGTGATGCGAGACTATGTGTGGTAACCCAAGAGTACCTTTTTGTTGTTATGGCCGTGGGAAGAAGTTCTTGTGATGAAGCCTGGTTGCAACAAAAGCAATCCAGGCTGGCAGTAAATGTATCACTTGAAGAATTAAGGCTCTGTTAAGTCATACCACAGTAGAGTAATCACATGTGTCCCCAAGTTGGAAATTCCCTGTTTTAGAAGATTAATTTTATTACAGCGTGAACGTGAGTAAATCATATATCCATGCAAATTGTAAATCATTGTATGGAAGCTTGACAAATAAATGTAAGTGCAATTATCTGCCCGTATCTGTGATCCTATCTTATTATTACTAAAGGTAATGACTGATTGGTTATGACATAGTATAACCAATAACTTAGATGGATGTTGAAAATTAAATGAATTCATTAAATCATCATTTATCAAGTATAAATCATGGAATGTCGAGTGGTGGAGTGAACTTCTACGTAGATACGCCATAATCTCCTGTAAGTAATCAGTGTGAAGGTATCGGACTCTACGGTAAGAAATAAGAAATATGACATATTATTATCTTTATATAATATAATCCACTCCTACTACCACCGATCCACCCCAAAACCATGACAAGTTGAAAACTGTGCAAGTGGCTAAGGGAATCTCTAGACTTAGCAAAGCAAGGTGTAATGTGATTGAGGAGATGGAAAATTTACTCTTAGTGTGGATAAAGGAGAAGGAAATGGCAGGTGATAGCAGTAATGAAGCTATAATTTGTGAGAAGGCCAGACAATTGTTGGAGGACCTTAAAGCCAAGACTCCCAGTGATAGTGATGTGCCAGTGTTTAGGGGTGCCAAGGGGTGGTTTACTGGTTTCAGGAGAAATAAATTACATAGTGTTGTGAGACATGGTGATGCTGCTAGTGCTGATAAGGAAGCAACTAAGGAACACCATGACATTTTTTTTAATGTTACTAAAGAGGGAGGCTTTGTTTCTCAGCAGGTATGCAACTGTGATGAAACTGGACTTTTTTGGGAAAAAATGCCTCGCCGTACATACATTACAAGGGAGGAAACTTCTGTCCCTGGCCATAAGCCAACGAAAGACAGGCTTACCCTCCTTCTTTGTGCTAATGCTTCTGGTGACTGCAAGGTAAAACCACTCCTTGTGTACCATGCAGAAAACCCCAGAGCTTTCAAAAACATTAGGAAGACCCGCCTTGGTGTTATGTGGCGGTCAAACCCAAAGGCTTGGGTGACCAGGAATTTATTCACTGAGTGGGTGATTGAGGTGTTTGGACCCAGTGTTCGGGAATACCTCAGGGAGAATAATCTTCCACTGAAAGCTTTGTTGGTGATGGACAATGCACCAGCCCACCCTCCTAATTTGATGGTTGAATTGCCAGAGGAGTTCAACTTCATCACTGTGCACTTCTTGCCACCCAACACAACACCTCTCATCCAGCCCATGGATCAACAGGTAATTTCTAACTTTAAGAAGCTGTACACAAAGGCACTGTTTAGAAAATGTTTTGCATCCACTTCTTCCAGTGATGTTAGTTTGAAGGAATTTTGGAAGAGTCACTTCAATATAGCAGACGCTGTTTTTTTAATTACCTCAGCCTGGAAAGAGGTTACTGTGAGGTGTCTTTGTGCTGCTTGGAGGCCATTGTGGCCTGAATGTGTGCTTCAAAGAGACTTTGAAGGCTTTGAAGAGTTAGAAGAAGAGGCTGTTGTTCATGAAATTGTCTCTGGGCAATTCCATGGGCCTGGAAGTGGATGATGATGATGTTGAGGAGTTGGTGGAAGAGCACAGTAAGGAGCTGTCCACTGAGGAGCTGCTTGAGCTTCACAAAGAACAAAATGAGACACTGAAGCGGAGCTTAACTTCTGAGGAGTCAGGGGAGGAGGAGGACAAGGAGGAAAGCCGCATCATTCCAGCCAAAGATCTCAAGGATGTGTTCTTTTGCTGGAGCAAACTGTCTAAGCTTGCAGAGGATTATCATCCTGTTGTTGGTGCTGTGGAAAAGGCCATCAGTGTGTTTAATGACAATGTTATGAACTACTTTTGGAAGGTCCAGAAATCAAGGTTGAAGCAGCCAACCCTGGATTCCTTCTTTAAAAAAGTGGCAAAAGACCCTACAGAGTGCCTGTAAGACAGTCACCAAAGAGGGCTAGGAAGGATGACTCCTCTCCTTCCACCTCTTCTCCATAATTCTCTCCTCCCCCCTCCTCCTCTGCCTGCTGTCCTGCATGCTGAACAACACTAAGGTAAGATAAAGTACCGTATTTTTTACATTTTCCACAGAATTTTTTCAGTGTTAATTGGTTGTATTTGGGGGCCTGGGACGGATTAATCCTATAACGAACGAGGTTCTAGAACCAATTACATTCGTTACAGCATACCCCACTGTATATCGAGTTTTATCAGTTATATAAATGATTTGGGATATATTCAGCCTTACAAACTTTAATTCATTACCTATTGTGCTATATGTTTGGTATCATTTGTTTCTTTGTTTTATGTTTGGTACAAAACAAAAAATAATGAAAATATTTCATTCTAAAGATATTTTTACCTTTGACTTCAACCTTCTATGATAAATATTTAAAATTTTCTAACATCCTCTCTGAGGTGCTAATAATGCCTTGAAATAATTAGGATTTTGATGGTCCAGATATTTAACATTATTTTATATAATAACAGATCTGCTTACTGACCGTGATCATATTTAGTTTGAATAAATGGACAGCTACACCAACATTTTCTATGAACCAATGACCTATTTTTATAGAAGAGTAGCGTGGCTTATGGGCCAGTGTAGCCTGGAAATACTATAGTTAATGTTTATTGTACTTATTTGAATGAGAAATATATACAGGGTACACTGTACTGTACTGGACTCTTGCATGCCAGAAATTTTTATATTAAAACGACTTAAACAAACCATCATACAGTCCCCAAATTCCCTTGACATAAAATTTAACACTTGTTTTGATGACTGAAACACTCACCCCAAAGATATAAATCTTAACTGAACATTTTATCTCCCATTAAGAAACTTTTGATGGATATAATTACCTTGTAAAGACCTCAAATCTCTTCACATCTTTCTCTAGTTTAAATATCTTAATAAAGTGAGTAACCTCATGGAAGACATCCAGGGCAGGAGGCAGTGTCTCCAGGGAGGCTGCTTCTCCACCAAACAACTCATCAAACTTCTCTCTGAAAATAACAAGCAATAAACACTTCTGTTCCCACAACTTATTATTACTGTTCATACAGTACACGTCTGCCTAAACCAAAATATTTATTGCTTTAACATGCTTTACCTTATGTGACACAGCA